AGCCTAGACGCAGTGCACTCGCTACCCGGTCTGAGCCTGCCCTCTCGCAGGCGTGGCGGGGCGGGCGGGCGGGGAGGGGGGAGCCGGCGGCGGGGGAGCCAGAGGCGGGCCGCGGCGCGAGGCCTTGCGGGCGAGCGGGCGGGAGGGCGGCGTGAGCCTTCCCCGCGCGTGCACCGTCTTGCAGTAGGAGCATGAGCCGAGGCAGCCCGTGTTGATGGGGACGATCTCGACCAGCGCGTTGCGGCGCACCTTTGGCAGGTCGAGCGCGGGGCGCACGCCGTGCGGCCGGTCGAGGAACGAGACGGCGCCTCCTCCGTCGAGCGCAAGCCGCACGACCTCGACGACGCGGTCGAACTGCTGCACGCCGAGGAGGGAGACGCCGTGCAGCAAGCCGCCCGGCCGGGAGAGGGCGCGGTCCGCCTGCGGCACACAGCCCGCCACCACAAGCACCTTGCCCAGCTCACGCCCCCGCCGCAGGTCCGTCGCGAGGTGGTCCTGCGACGGGTTCTTGACGGTGCAGCTGTTGATCAGCCAGACGTCCGCCTCGCCGCGCCGCGCCGCCGGGAGAAGGGTGTAGCCGTGGGCCGCGAGCAGCCCGCACATGTACTCCGAGTCGGAAGCGTTGTGTGAGCAGCCGTATGTCTTGACATACACCGACTGGCTGCCGGGCGGCGGCGTGAGCCCAAGCTCGATGCTGTTGGCTGGCTGGGTGGCGAGCGGCGCGCGCCGGCGCACACCGCGCGCGGGCCGGTCCAGCTGGCTCGGCGCGGCGATGTCCTCCAGGTCTGCAAGCATCCGGCTCTCTGCTTGTGTGTGTCACACGGGACACCCGCCAGCGACGCCCCCAAAAAGAATTTTTCGCGTCAAAGAATTTTGTCGTGTGGGTGAACCCTGCCCAGCCCCCCTCCGTGTCGCGATGCGCTCCCCGCTCCCGTTCCCCTGTGTCCCTGATCGTCCTTACAAGATCCTGCTCGTGCAGGTGGGGACCCTGTCCTTCTCCCACCCCTCGTTTGGCGTGCCCGTGCCGTTCTCCCACCCCTCCCTTGGGGTGTCTGTTTTCTTTCTTTTTTCAGCCCGAGCTTGGGATGTCCGTTGTATTTATTTTTCCGTTGTGCAACTTGAGCTTGGGATGTCCGTTGTATTTATTTTTCTGTCCTCGAGCCAGCCTCCCTAGCTTGCTGCTTGGGATGTCCGTTGTATTTATTCCGTTTTATTTATTGCCACAGGTTAAACTTCACTTGGTGCTCCTTGTCGGAGGCGAAGTCCTTGCGGTGCGGCATCGTCACTACGGACACAGAGCCCGCCGGAGTCTCCCGGGCAATTTGCTCGGTACCGCGCCAGCGAGCCTTCTTGATGAGCGAGTCGTGCTTCGCCGCCGTCGCCGCGATTCCCGTGCCGCCGCCACGGAAGGTGGCACGTGCTTTTGCGAAGCCCACTTTGCGGCCTTTGCCGCTTGCCCACCGCTTGGCTTCGTCAACGGGCGAGTGCCTTACCACACTCGCCTCGGCATTACTCGAAGCCGCGAGCTCGGATGCGGCCACAAGAGCGGCCTGCTTGGCACGCAGCTGCGTAATCGTCGGCCCGCGTGCGCGGCTCTTCACGGCCTGTGCCGGCGAGTTGGCGTTCACGCGCTGATTCATCATCGTCATCGCTCTGTCTATGGTGCTGCGTCTCGCGTGCAACGTTGGAACTTGTGCCCGCCTCCTTCTCCGACGAGCTCGTATGCCACGTCGCCGCCTGTGTTTAGGTTTCTATGTTTGCGATTTGGAATTTGGTATTTGTCCAACTCTTTGTTTATGTATTTATTTATAGAAAGAATTTTACGTCGACAGTCTCTTAAAATCCCTCTGTGCTGGCGGCGTGCCGTCCTCCCCACCCTTCGCTGGCCCATTTTCTTTCTTTTTTCGGCACGGGACTGGGAGAGAGATGTTTGTTTTGCGGGACTGGCGCGCACTGGCACTAACACAGGTACAGTACACCACGGGAGCCGGAATATAGAATTGGAAGAATAACGTGTACAGGCCAATAAAGCGACTCCTGCGAGAAAGAAACACAGCCGTGAGCCGATCCCAATTATCCGGCCCGCTGGGTGCGCTTCTTAGCTCCCCGGCCCTGGGTGTGCGGTCACCAACTGCACTCCAAGTACTCTCCAAGACATCCTGCTCCCTCAAGTGCTCCAAGTGCTCACGCAAGTCTCCGGTATCTCCCCTCCGCCCCCGCGCGAGGAGCTTGCTGCGTTGGGTGTCGGCCGCCTCTCGCGGTGGTGGGTGCCGGCCGGCCGGGCCTCGCTCGGCCGCCCTTTGCGGAGCGCGGCTGCCAAGCCTGGCCCTGGGAGCTGCCCCACGTGCCTCGCACCTATACGGCCCAACACGACCTCCCTCGTGGGGGTGGGGAGAGGGCGGCGGCGGGACGCGCGGCGTGGCCCACGATCTGTCGGCGCGGGATGTAAAAGACGGTCCCCGCGAGGTACTCCTTGACGAGGTAGGCTAGGTAGAGGAAGAGGACTAGCAGGAGGGAAATGCCCATCACTGTGGGCACGTCGCGGACTTCCAGCGGCTTGTGCAGGGACACGTCGTGCCGGTGGTGGTGCCCGCCTGTCACAGCCGGCGAAAGCGACCTCAGTGCACTGCGCGTGGCGCCGCTCTCCGGCTCTCCCTCCTCCCTCGCCCGAGTGGCGCGCTGCTCGGGCCTCGAGCTGCTGCTCGATGAGCTTGACCTCGACTGCCTGCGAGAGCTTCGACCAGAAAAAGAGGATGGCCGCCATCACAAACGTCGCAACCGAGACTGCGCCCAGCGAGAGCACCGCCCTCAAGTCGCGCTTCAGGCTGGTCACGCACTCCGAGTACCGGTCGTGATGGCCGTGGAGCGCGACAGCGGGCGCGTGCGTGATGAGGAGCACCGAGACGAACATTGTGAGGCAGGAGGTGCCCAGGGCGACGCACGTGACCAGCGGGTAGGTGATCTCGGGGCAAGGGCCCATCGACATGTCGCAGAGGCCATTGTCGATGAACTTGGTGTAGATGAGACCCTGCTGCAGGAGGCCAGCCAGCACTGCCGCGAGCGTGCCGACCGCTCGGCAGTTGGTGAGGAAGTAGTCAAACTCGCGCTCGCGGATCTGCAGCATGCGCAGTCGCAGCGAAGCGACCACACTGAGGCGGTCCGCGACCATTGACATTCCTCGGGCTCAAACTTTTTGCCGCGAAGCCACCCCGGTCCCCGCCGCCCGCCGAGTTTCTTTACCATTATTGCAATATGGACGGGAAAGAAGTTTGGTTGCCTGGCGCAGACACCCTGAGACCCCCATCGTGCCTTCGTGCGACCGGCCGGATACCCTCTGGCCGCCGACCCATAATGCCATAAACCGCCCGCCATTCGTACGAGCCCACACGTGGCCACTTGCCCTATGGCCACACTCCCACCCGCCGCCACGGACGAGCCCATCGCGGCTGCGCACGCACCGGCGCCGGCGGCACCGCTCCCAGCAGGCAATGCAGCTTGGCCTGCACAAGCTTTTCCGGCAAACAAAAAGGAAAACAGAGGGTCCCCAGCACTTTGCGTTTCCGGAAATTTCCAGGGAAAACAGAGGGTGTTTGGTGCTCCATTCTGGAAACTCGCGAGTTTCCCTGAGTCTGAGAGCTGGTCTGGGGCAAAATCTGACGCAAAATTGAGGAAATCGGCACGATACCCAGGCGGTCGCAGGGTATTTTCCAGGTATACCCGGGGTTTTCCAGGTACACCCGCAAGATACAAACAAATACAAGTGAACAGGGCTCCAGGCCCCAAATTACGTGTGAGTGTTAGAGTTGTTTGGTATTGCTAAAAATCTCTCTCTCTCGCACAACACTGGGCACGGGACACTCTCTCTCTCAAAATACCCGGTATTTTGCCGATTTGGCTGATTTTGGGCCCAAACCAGCCTCAGACTCGGCTCAGAGCCCGGAAAATTTGATGGTTTCCCCGGGAAAATAGAGAGGAAAAGAGAGGGTGCTGTAGAGAAAAAAGGAAAGGAAAAGAGACGGGGTGCGAGAGGAAAAGCTTGTTCAGCCTAAAATGCAGCCGGCTCACGCAAGCCACGCGGAGGGCGGAGCGCGTGCTCCGCCGCCCCCCCGGGGGTATGCTCGATACCCTGATACCCGGCATACCCGTGGTCCGGCTAAGAGGTACCGAGGGTACCCTAAAAGGCCAATCCCGAATCGGTGTGTGCCGCTATATACACGCGCTGACCCGATCGCCGACCAGATGTCCGCCGCTGCGTCGTCCTCCTCCGCCGACGCGGCGTACGCCCCTGTCGCGCGGGCGGTCGAGGCGATGCGGCAGTCGCTCCGCGAAGCGCCGGAGCGGTTCGCCGCCGCGTCAAAGGATGTGGGTGTTCTCCAGAAGCTGCTTAGGAACCCGGCTGATCAGCCCGAGGAGCCACGCTTTCGCAAGCTGAAGCTCACAAACGCGACCGTCGCGCGCGTCCTCGCCACCACGGGTGTACGCGAGGTGCTCGAGGCCTGCGGATTCTCTGCCGATGCGGAGCACCTCGAGCTCAGGATGGAAGCGACGGACACGGCTGCGGTGGCGCGCCTGTCCTCGGCAGCAGAGGCGGTCGAGGCGGCGCAGCGAATGCTGCAGGAGCTCCACTGGATTGCTACCGTTCGCGACGAGGTGCCGTCCCTAGCCGCTCGGCCCTGGGCTGCGGACGGCGCAGCGCACGCCCTCGTGCAAGCCTGCCTCGCCGCGGTGAGCGCGCCCGCCTCCGACCCGCTCGCGCTGGCCGCCAAGATCCCGTGGGTGCGGCGTTTGAACCGACTGATGTTCTCGGCCGAGCTGCAAGAGTGCCGCTCCTCGCTCTCGCCGCTCGCGTCGGTCGCGATCGTTGCGCTGCAGACGACCTCGCTCGAGCTGATTCGGGTGGGCGCTCGCGACGTCCGCTCACTGGTCGAGGTGAGCCAGTGCCTGGCGCAGCTCTGGCCTCCGGGCGAGGCGCGCACGCTCGACGCGCGGCTCGACTTTGCCTTCGCCTGCATGGAGGCGGCGCTACCGCCTGCGGGCGAGCCGCTCGAGCTGCGGCTGCGGCTGGTGCGGCGGGAGCTGCTCGGCTCCGCCATCGAAGCGCTCGGCGCCTTCTCCGAGATGGGCGTGCGCTGCGGCGTCCTCAAGCAGCCCCTCACAATCGAGTACGTCGGCGAGGCTGGCCAGGACGCGGGCGGGCTGCGGCGCCAGTTCTTCGACCTCTTCACCGCCGAACTGCCCGCGTCGCGCCTCTGGACGCACACCGACGCGGGCGGGCTTCGGCCGGTGGACCGCGCAGCCCTCACCGCTGAGGCGGCGGCGCAGCTCCGGCCGCACATGGAGGCGTGCGGCCGCGTATGCGGCATGGCGCTCTACCAGGAGCTGCATCGCAGGCTCGGATGCTGGAAGGGCACCGGCAGGATGCCGTGCTCGCACCCTGAGCTTGAAGCAGTCCACAACGTAGGCTGGGTGTGCGGTGGGAGCCAGAGGTGTTCGCGGGCCAGCCGCCGAGCCTGCTCGGCGACTCGTTCGCGCGCTACTTTCTGCGCGCGGTGCGGCACGACCCCCCAGCCACGCTCGCCGAGCTGCAGGCGGAATTGCGCGCCGAGTGCCCCGACTCTGCGCCCGACTACCGCGCAAGCCCGGAGATCCTGACGCGCAGCCTGCGCGAGAGCGGGCTCGAGGGGCAGACCTTCGTCCGGCACGTGGGTGGCGCCGAGGTGTGCCGCCGGTGGAGGGTTGCGGCTGCTCGGAGCCTTCCCTCAGCCGTCTCGGGGCCTTCGCGTAGGTGCCGCTGGTGGAGGGCGGGGCGGTGCGCGCAGTGTGCGACGAGAGCAAGGCGGAGTGGCTCGAGCGGAGGAACTATTTTTTGATCAATTACTATTGATTAACTGTAAACAATTAACAGGCGGAGTGGCTCGAGCGGATGCTCCGCGCCGAGCTGGTCGATGGGGTGGCGGCGGCGGCAGCCCACTTCCGGAAGGGGCTCGTAGACGCCATCTCCCCAGGCCACATCGACGCGGCGGACGCGCTCACGTGCCGCTGGACGACGCCGCACTTTTTTCTGCTCACTGCGGACGAGCTGCAGGCACAGTGGTCGGGCGCTGCGGTGAGCCGTTCGTTCGTCGCGAGCTGCCGCGCGACGGCGACGGTGCACCCGGAGGTGGCGCAGCAGGCGCAGTGGCTGTGGGAGGTGCTCGACGAGCTCGACGACGCGGAGCGGGCGCGCTGGTTCCGCTTCCTGACTGGCAGCTCGCGCGGCCCGCGCGGCGGAGCCAACCTCCGCATCGGCCCTCGCGCGGGCGGCGACGGCGCCTTCCCCTTCGCCCACGCGTGCGTCTCCTCGCTCGACCTCCCGAGCTACTCGTCGCGAGAGCTGCTGCGGGAGCGGCTCGGAGCAGCGGTCAAAGCGGCGCACGACAAGTTCACCGATCTCTGACCGCTCCGGGCTCACCGTCCACAGCAGTGGACGCGTGGTGCACCGCGGCATCTTACCTACGGGGCTCGGCGGGCCGTACGGGCTTCCGACCGGGCGACGGTCGACAGAGCACTATCTGGCTATCTGCGCCCCCTACGCGGAACAACCTCTCTAATCCGGTCTAAAACACTAGGGGTGCGTTAAGAGCTGAACAGAGGAGTGTGTTTAATGTGTTGTCTGTTGATAGTGTTAACAGCGATAGCACAGTCATGAGTCAACTGACAACTGGCTCTCTACTCTGCAAATGGGATCCGCCAACTGTGGCCGTGCCCACCCGCCACGAGCGTCGGAGCGTGATGCGTGCGGTGTGCGGTGTCCTACTCCGCTTCCTTAAAAAAATTATCCTGCATCGGCGTCGGCATGCCGATGGGCGTGTGGGAAAGCGTCGGTAAAGTCAAATGGGTCGAGAGGGTGACAGGGTAGAGCATAACACGAAATTCCTTTGTTTTGTACATATTGGATCGTCTATTGAACGTATATGTGCGGTTGTGCTTATATGGCGTTCAACTTTCCACCGCGCTGGACGTCTTCATCGATGGCGAGTAGTAATTGCCGCTTGCACGTGGCGTGCTTGCCTTCCGCCTCATGCAACTCGTGCTCAAACCGCCGCTTTCTTCCGCGCGCTTGGACAGTGAGTTGCTTGCTCACCTCAAAGTTGCTCTTCTCGTCGTCGACCCCAGTTACTGCGGCTGCAAGATTGGCAGCCACGTAGCCAGCCGAGCTAAACGGACCCCAGCCGTCCTGTGCAAGCTTGTAACCAACACCCGCAGCTAGGAGTGACGTGGCGCCAACAGGGCCGGGGTTGGAGAGGAAATAGCTTGCACCGGCGAGGACAGTGCCCGCGCCCGAGAGAAGCGCCGCGCCGAGGCCAGCCATGTGGAAGTACGCCTCCTTGCTCTTCACCTCCTCTGCGTTAGCCTGGTGCAATCCCTTTTCGGCCACCTGCAGCTCATGCCGAAGTGCACCAAGAGGGCTACGAGCCTCTCTCTCCTTCTTCCATGCATCGTGCACCTTCTTCTTGAGCAGGTAAATGTTGTATGCGTGCTTCCTCTCCCGCATTGAAAGTACGGTAAACACAGTCTCAACCTCGCCATCGTCCATCTCCTCGATTTCGTGCTGCAGCGAGTTGAGGAAGGCGTTCTTATCCATTCCCTGATCGGAAAGCAGGGGGTATATTGCCTTCTGGATGGTGTCAAAGTTACGCATTTTGGTCAAAACCTCGTTGCCGGGCAGGTCGGGATAGTTTTGTTCGACCCACGCCTCCCATTCCTCGCCGTTCGTCGCCGCAAACTTCGAGTAAGGGTAGTAAGGATACTCCTCAGCTGGGGGAGCTAGCGGCTCATAGCCTTGCACTTCGAGGAAGAGGTTGGCCGCCACCGCCAAGAGATTATCCGGCCGCACTTTCACGATCTCGCCGCCGTCCTCGAGCGCCACCACGTACCGGCCGCCCTCGAAGCTCTGAGCCAAGCCCCGCTGCCCGTTCAGCTCGGGGCGGGCCGAGAGCCCGCGGAGCACGACGCGCTGGCCGAGGAGCGCCGGTTCGCTCGACTCATATGCATTCGGCATCTGCTCTCTGCAACGTTCCTTGGTGTATATGTACCTTACCCACGTTGACACGTCCGTGGGTAAGCCAACGTTCCTTAGAGCGCTACATGTGTGTGTCCGCCTTGCGTTTGTTTCATAACATCGAAGGCTAGCTAAAAACATCAAAAAAATCACACACAAAAATCAAAAAAATCACACAAAATCCAACTGTCTATCTATCTCAACTAACCACCCCGAACAGGAAAGAAAATGTGTGTCTCATTGTGTGTATGTGTGTGTATCGCGCGCGCCGCCGCCTTGCGGGGGGGTCGAGGGGGGCGGGAGGAATAAATAAATAAATAAAAACGGACACCTCGCTCTACTGTGAGGCGTGGGTAAAAAGGAACAGGTCCCCGCCCTTAGGGGGGCGGAATGGATTATTCACCTTGCCGATTATCCTAATCCCAAGGCCCCAAGTTGAGTTGCCCCCCACCCAAGGGCACGAAAAACGACATCGACAACTCGTAAGTGTTCACAACCTGTTCACAACTCGTGGGCGCGGGGTTTGAAGATCCCTCACACCAAGATCGTGCAGGGCGGGGACACATGTCCCTAAATCCCATCTCGTCTCAGAGTTTGACGGTTTTTTATTTATTTATTTGGGGGGTTTTGTGTGTGAGACGCATGATGCAACCGAGCCCAACAAGCAACATATCATGTATGACGAACATCCAACATGCGAGAGGCACGGGCGTCCTCGCGGCACGCGGGTCCCCCGCCCCACTCCCAGAGAGGAGCGCCCGCGGCCACCCGCGCCGTTTTTTTCTCACTTGTCTTCTAATACTTAGGGCGGTCGAGTGCACGGAGCTAAGTGCCTCGCCGACCCGTCCTCGCGGGAGTCGCCTAGGCGGCTCCAGTGGTGTACCTGTGTTAGTGCCAGTGCGCGCCGGTCCCGTGGCCCAGTGTTGTGCGAGGGAGTTTTGTTGTAAAATTCTAATACTTAACCTCCCACCAATGCACAGAGGCAGACAGAGCGCATCGCCATCACTGTGGTTTCGCACACAGCGCGCACGCCGCGCCGAGCGACACCGTGCGGAGGGGATTTCCCGGCCACTGCCCCAGGGACGTGAGACGTTCCCAAAACGAGCAATGTGGCGACTAGTGGAGAGGGTGGGACCGCTCCACACGCCTCGGCCTACTCGAAGCGTGCCCGCCGCTGCGCTGCAGCCACCACGGAATCCACCAGGCCCGCTTCCGACCCGCCGGCGGCGCGGCCTAGCTGCTCGCGCAACGCGTTGCGCACGTCCGCCTCGGAGGCGCCGTGCGACAGCTGCGCGACCGCCCACGGCACCCAGCTCTCCCCGACGGCGGGCGAGGGCGGCCGGTGGAGGCGGGCAAAGCGGAGCCACAGGAGGAAGCCCACGGCGAGGGCGACGAGCAGGAGCGGCCACCAGACGAGGGCGAGGAGCAGCGGCCGCTCAGAGGAGCTCGGCTGCAGCGCCAGGAGCGGGGGCAGCGCCGAGATGAGCAGCAGCGCCTACTCGGAAGGCGCGGCCGCCTTCTAGGGAGGGGCGGCGTGTCTCACAGTAGGGGGGGGGGGGCGGGCGCGCGTGGCGGGAGGCGAGCAGGCGCGGGTGGATCCCGAAGTCGAGGAGCTCCTTGGGCATCCTTGCCGCGGCGG